AACTTCAAAAGATCTGTTTCTCAGAGAAAGGATTCTTTTTTAGGACCAGAATGCTATTTCTTATGTTTGTGTATTCACAAAACTGGTGAGTAAGGTGGCGCACACCTGTAATCCCAGCATGTGGGGGATTAAGGCAGGAGAATTGCAACTGTGAGGCCAGCCTGAACTACACAGCAAAGTGAAGGCTGGCCTGGGTCACAGCAAGACTATCTAGAGAGAGACAGACAGACAGACAGAGAGAGAGAGAGAGAGAGAGAGAGAGAGAGAGAGAGAGAGAGAGGATGTTTGATAGGGTAAAAATAAGTATAGATCTAATTTACTTACATGAATAAGTAATATGTAAATATTTAGGAGATAGTTGGAAACTACCTTTATATGTAACTTTATTTTATTTAGCTCCTGAACTTTTCTCCTCTTCCACCTAAAGGAATACTCAGGAAGTGATATTACATAGTAAAATTAATTAGTAATGTATAATCTACAGATGAGTTTTGAATAACAGTTCCTAGAAATAAGTATTCATAGATCTCTGGTCATGAAACAATTTTTGTTGCAACAGTACTGCCATATAATGGTCAAAATCAAGAGTTTAAAACTTAGGAACATTTTAGTATTATCTATACTTCTAGTCTGTGCTAAAAATGTCTGTCTTTCAGAAGACATATAGGGGCTTAATTCAAGGAGTAAAACAGTGAAACTAAGTTTAACAGAATCTTTGGACTAAATGCCACCACTTTTATCATTTTTGAAACATTTGTCAAAAGGCATTTGTCTAGCTGGTTGCAATCTGCCCTGTTTCTTGGCTGAATGTAGATACCAGGTCACTGTCTTACTTATCACACAAATACTGTTTCATTGAGCTCTAGAACTTTTGGTTTTTGAAGAGTTATATTGTGCAAATGTTTTAAAGTGAAACAGTAAAAATTGATGCCCTACCAAAACTCATTTCTGATAGAAGTGTACTTAGTAAGACATTACTTAAGCACATGCTGTATCATATTTGGCCAGCTATAATTACTTTATCTTTTAAAATGGAATTGATTTTTAGAAATCTTTAAGGATATATGAGTTGAGATGATTGTTTTGTTGTGAAAATAGGCTTTAAAACATTTGGACAAAATAAAATTCTTGAAATATCTGCTTAGCATGCTGTTTACTTTTAGAAGTTAGTACTCCTGGTAGCCACCCTATTGTGCAGGTATCAGAAGCCTCAGTGGTGCCGAGGTCTGTGAGGCGTTTGCTTTGCTCCGCTTTGGTAGATGAGAACCACTGCAGGTTGTGTGACACGCCAAGAGCTCCACTAGTGGTTTGACTGCTGTGGAAATACATGAAGGAAGGGAGGAAGGCCATTATCTAGGGGTCAAGTGATCAGGGCCTGAAACGGACCAGGGCTTTCAAAGAAGATTCTAAGCTTAATTTGACTGAGTAGCCTCTGTTGGTGACTAATATCCTCAGAGCCACATCAATATCATTTTCTTTGGTCCCTGATATTCAAACTGTTGGCCTACCTTCCTCTTCCTTGGAAATGTCTGTACCATCCACCATCTCCTACTGCTCCTGATGTAACTATACTAACTTAGACCTTTATCATGACTTGCAAAGTATTTCCAAAGCATCCTCCGGAGTACTTCCAGTGCCATTGCCCCCAGTCCCATCCCACTCCAATCTTCTCTCTCTCCATCTGCTTTAAACACCGCTGAAATACCTGCCCCACCACTACCACCACCCTACCCTTCTTTCAGCAGCTGTTTCCTTATTCTGAAAATCAAGAAAGCCTATACTTGTTTACCACATCGAAAGAAGGCCCTAAAAAGTCAGCAGCAGAGAGCAGGTAAGGGATGATTGATGCAGAGTTACTTGATGAGCCTTTGAGCAGACAGCCAGAGGTATGAACGTTCTAGTCCTCTTTATTCTACAGCAGACAGAAACTAAAAACAAATTTGGAGGACAAGGAAAATTTAGCTTAAGCAGAAATCGCAGGTCCAGCTTCCATTCTTTGTGCTGCGTTTCTGGTGGGGAGGAAGGTCTGTACCCACACAGACATGCTCGCCACCTACACAGGGACGGGCTCTCTTTCTCTCTGCAGTTCATCTTCTTTTAATCTACTACTTAAGATTCACCATTTTCCATAAACCCTTTGACTTTCCTGGTATCTATTTCTGGCACATGCTCTCCTCTCCTTTTTGAGAATTCTTTTTTTTTTTTTTTTTATGGGTACCAGGGATCGAACTCACGACTACCTGCTTCCAAGGCAGGCGCTTATGCCGCTGAGCTAAACCTCCAGCCCCTACTGCACTTCCCCACTAGTACTTCTTCTAGTACTTAATCATTCTCAAATTTTCCCCAACTAAAATATGAGCTGTGGCATGAAGGGGCAGGCCCCGGGTCCTCATATCCGGGATGTGTGGGGAGCACAGCAAGGCACAGTAGGACAACTGGGTCCTGGGATCTGGTCCCAGCTTACTTATTAAGTGAACACAAGGACTGGGTTGGGAGCATGGACATCGTATTTCTAAGCCTCTTCTGCATTGGGCTTCTGTGATTCTGATCGCATCTCACTGACTAATAGAATATGGGGAGTGAAAGAGACTGTAAGTTAATTCTGAGGTTGTGAGCCTGGAGAACCAAGGAGGTGGGCCAGCTGGTTTCATGCTTGCCAGCTAGACAGTTTACTGTTTGTTTCCAATCCAAAGGGTCCTTTAGGCAATAGTAGTAGGCTGTGGTGAGACACAAGTTTAGGAATGGGCCATGCTATTTCCACACAGAGAGGGGCTCCCTGGGCTCCTGTGTGATCGTTTCATTATTTTAGAAAAGTTAAGGTTAGCCATGGAAGGTCATTTGGGGTGGTGTTTTCCACTATAAAGAAAAAAGTAAGCTATGTTTTATATTTTCATAAAAACCTACAAGTTATATGGATCACTACTAAAAATTCAAATAGTAACTTTTTTATATTTCATTTTTTAAAAACCCCACTTCTTTGACACCAAGAAATGGCTTTTTGTCACCCTTCAGTACTTTGATTCAATTGATGAATTTAAGCTAAATTCGTACTTGGTGGTGTAGAATGTTGATAACTGTCCATCGTAGCCAGCCATGGTGGTGCACACCTGTAAATCCCAGCACTGGAAAGACTGGGGTAGAGGATTCCCACAAGTTCAAGGGCAACCTGGGTTACAGAGTGAGTTCCAGGCCATTTTAAACTACATAGCAAGATCATGTCTCAAAACCCCCAAAACTTCTACATGGTTAGTGGGAATGTAAACTAGTACAACCGTTATGGAAGCCAGGGTGGAGATACCTCAAAAAAACTAAAAATAGAAATTCCTTTTGACCCAGGTATTCCTGCTGTAGAAATCATTCCAAAATGTTGAAATCATCATATTACAGAGATGCATGCATACCCATGTTTATAATCAGCACAATATAATAGCTAGATCTTAGAAACAGTGTATAAATCTATCAATGGATGAATGGATAGGGAAAATATATTTATATATAATGATGTATGAAGCTGCCATAAAGAAGGGTAAATGTGTGGCATTCATAGGTAAATGGATGCAATTTGAGAACATAGTCTTAAGTGAAATAAGTCAGACAGACACGCAAGCTTAAATATCGCATAACTTCTCTTACATAAGAAGCACAGTATGTTGTTTATGTGTATACAGATAAAGAAGCAAATTTTAGAAGACTCAAACAGATTTAAACAGAGAAGTTTAAATACTTCCTCAAATTACGTATTCTGAGGTTTCAGAAATATTTTAATATGTTAGTTTGTTTTGTTTATGTTGCTCATTTACCTTAGTTCCTTGAAATGCTTGTTGCTTTATGAGAATCCTTTTGGTCTATGTCTTTTACTTTGAGTAACTGTTTTGAAGATAATGACACAAACTATAATAACACCTTAGTATTTTGTTATGATATTGTTTTTTTTCATGAGATAAAAAATGTCCATAGTAATTTTCCTCAAGATGTCTCCATCTTAAGTACTATAATTATATTTATTAACATTAACAATATTAGACTTTGGTAGTCTTATAAAGAAGTAGCTGTTCTTCCCATTTTTTTCTTTGTCTATTATAATCCTGATTAATGAACTTTTAAATCTGCTAAGCAGTCTTGCAGGATAGCTAAAAATAGTAGATGACGTGCTATGGGTAAGGAAAGAGATGTGAGGGTCCTCTGTATTTTTATTTGGGATAGAGTTAGGACCATAATTCACTGCCAGTTGGATTGGAATTGAGGATATGAAAAATAGTTTACAGGCTGATATGTTACTGTTAAACGTTACTGAATTTTAATTTCTACTAGCAATTTAGGAAAAAGCATCTCCATAGAAAAACTTACCGGTAGTGTTGAATACAGAAATGATGCTGGAAACTATGACTAATACTTGTAATCACAGCTTTTCTTCCAAATTCACAATTTTGTTATGAAATATTGGAGTTATAAAGAAGACAACGCTCATAATAAAGCAGAAATTGCTCTAAAAATTATGTTCTGGACAAAATCTAGTGAGAAAATTGACAGCCTGTTTGACCCTCAAGTAAAAGCTAATCTCCAGTAAAATGTGAGAAAGTGAAAAATTACCTGATTCTTGAATATTCTAATTTTATTTTTCTAGCATCTGCTGAAATTCTTCAGAATTTCTCTAATTATCTCTTTAACCTCCCTTCTTTAAAAATGTCAGAAAATTAAGATTTTGTATATGTAAAAATAAATTTGCATACTAATTGGGATTTTTTTTGCAAATTGTGTCAGTCAGTTTTAAAAACATGATTAATTGTGCTGCTAAAATATACCTTTTGGTTATATGGTTCAGAGAAATGTTAACAATTCATTGGGTTATATTAATGTAACCAACTGCAAAAGTAAGAATCTGATGAGAGATTTTCATACATTATGACACTGAAAAATACATGGATTTAAAGTTTAAATACTTAGTCCTGTGTCACAGTAACTAAGGTTTACTTGTTTGTTTCTTGTGTTCTTTTTAATAGAGTTTGATTCCTTTCCGACCTTCTATCCAGTTTCAGGGGCTTCAAGGGGTAAGTACTGTTTAATATTCTTCCCTTATTCTACAAAAGTTTTTAAAATTTGACTTCACTTTGACCTTCTTAATATAATAAATCACTCATAGATATGTGAAATTTCTGACTAAATAAAAACTTACAACATCTTTTGTCAAAATTTTTGAATTATCTTAAATTTTTTAAAAAATTCAGATATAGTTATGTTTTAAGTGTGTTTTTCTCTAAGTCATGGATAATTGCAAATTTGAAACTTTTAATTGAAGGTTCAAACATCAAGGCAGTATTTGAATTTTTTGTGAATTTTTTTGCTACAACTAAACAAAGAATTACTAATTTCAATCAAGTTGTGATTTTTGTGATTGTTTAATGTCTTTTCACTTAATTTTTTGATTGTGCAAACTGGGAAGTGAAATAGAATAATAGCAATTAAGCTGTTCTAGGATACCAAATAAAGTTGTCTGTGTCAATTTTACTGCTGTATTAAGGGACAAGACATAGTGTGGATATAGCTTAGTGATGGAACATGCATTTAGCATGTGAGACATCCCGGGTTCAGTTCCCAGCATACACGCCAAAATAGTATGTGATAGCTTTGAATATCACCTGTGGGTTTTGTATTTACAATAGATGATAAAACTGTACAGGAGAACTATCAGTATTGTTTAGTTATTACGGTTAATATTTAACATTAGATTTTTTTGCTTCCTTAAATGAATATACTAACTATAAACCCACATACTGACTATTGTAGAGATGAGTACACTTATAAATGGGTTTCCGAACTATAGCAAAAAGGTCAGGGAGAGGGACAAAACGTTCTTGATACTGTAAAGCTACATGTTTGTGAATTTTTAAGTCACAAAATTTTAAAACATCCATATAAATGAATGTAATCTTTCTAATCTTTGTTACTTGAACACATTTTAAGAGTCAGATTAATTCCATCATTCAACATGGACTAAGAGGACAGTACTTCTAAATCTGTTGTGCAATGCTAACTTGAAGGCAATGTTTGTGTGGCTGTCAAGGCTTCGCTTCGACATGACAGCTTTACAATGAGGCCCTTCTTTGCCCTCTCAGTAACCGAGTGTTCATGAATGGGATCCTAATTAGACAAGTGTTCTGAATTTTGTTGTATAGCTTCTTAGGCAGTCTTCAGTGCGTGCTGAATCTGTATTTGAGGAGGTAATTCTGTTGTTTATTTAAGGCTTCTGGATGTTCCCTGCATGTTTTGATGGTGTCAGTAATATGTGAAGAAATATTTAAGAGGCAAGCCTGGGTCCCTAATCCTCCAGGACTCCACAGATTTCACTGAAGGGCTTTGTGGGAAGGCTGCCCAAGACCTGGGGAAAAAATGAAGGGTTGAGCCTCTGTTTCTCTCAATGGGAGTTGTAGAGCCATCACCTTATTTTATGGCTGCTGCTTCCCTTAATTTTCTTTTACCTAGTTTGGGACATCTAAGCGAGGGAAATAAATGCAAGTAGAGGACATTTTTCTTAGGGGGCACCAAGTTAGTCTGAAGGACCAGTAAAGAGCCAACATGTGCAGGCTCACTTGATTCAAATACTTTCAGGTTTCAGCAGTCTCAGAGCATGGTTTTCCCTAGCACCATTACAAAGCAGGCAGTTTGTATTTGAGACCTTGGGCCTCTATCTGTATTCTGGATTTTCCACCTAGGTATCACTGCAGCTTTGCTGTACTAATCTGTCCAGTACCTCCTACCATTTATGTTTACCTGCACAGCTCTTCCCACTCTATCCCTTGCCCGAATATAGTCTGCTGTTAAAGATAAGATATGAGGGCCAGGGATGTGGCTCAGGGCGCAGCACCTGCCTGGAAAGTGCAAGGGCCTGAGTTCGATTATTACTACCAAAAAGAAAGTCATTATAAGTGACTGATAATGTTAAATCTTAATGGGTGTTTGACTTTTAGAAGGTAAGTATTGGAGCTGGGGATTTAGCTCAGTGGCATAAGCACCTGCCTTGCAAGCAGGCAGTCCTGAGTTCCATCCCCAGTACCTATTAAAAAAAGAAAAGTATTTAGGCCAAGTGAATGGTGATTGGGTTCAGTACAGTAGTTGTGGGGTGAAATGCTGCAGACTGAGAGCTGTTGGATGCTTGACCCTACCTTACGTTTTCTGGGTCTGACTCTTCAACCCCCACCCCTTTTTATTATTCTAACTGGGAATAAAATATATGGACTCAGCATTGTTTTAGAGGCTGCAGCTGCATTCCATCTGCCCTTCCCCCTCTTCTTTGCAGAGCTCTCCCCAGCCCTTTGGGACTTGGTAAAAACAAAGAGTCATTACAGGGAAGAGAGTGGGTTGGCACAGCCCACAGGGAATATGTGCGTCCATAAATGTAAGGGTCTTCTATACAGTGTGCCTCTGTGTTTCTCAAGAGCCATGATAGGTTCGACATTGCCCATGCAGATTGCTTTAAACACGAAGTCTGCTTACAGACTTTTCCTACGTGGAAATGTGCAGGGCTTTAAATTGCAAGGTTTAAATTTAGATTTCCCACAAAAGATACTTTTCCTTAGTGAAAAATGTTATTTGTCTTTCTGCATCAAACATGATTGAAAATGTACCTTAACTATTATGACAGTGTTACATGTAGGCATATTTGAAGCATAACTGAAGCATTGTTAAAATAGCCTTTTAAAAGTGAACGTGTTATGTTCAAATTATGTCCTGTTTCCCCAATGAGAATTATGCTAAGTACCACATGGTTATACTGTTTCTTGTTACTAATTATAGGACTTTTTTTCTTTCAGCAGCATTTCTAGAAGCCAGAATTTGGGTCTTGGCAAGTTAGCTGTTAAGCATATTTACTTTTCTGCTTGAATCTGTCTTAGTTTGAAACTAACTTCTAAAAACTTGAGATTGAAACATTAAAATATAGCAATATACTGTCAAAGAATTGTAAGAATCCTTGAATTTTTATCCTCACAGTTGAGCAGCAGCTTTTACAGCATAAAAATAAAAGTTCTGTCTTTCACAGTTCATTCCACCCCTTCCTCTTATGTGGAAGAGGGCACTTAGGAAATTGAATGGTCATTGAAGACATTTTTTTTGATTCAAAAAGATATGTCTATGGCAGCAGTTGATTCTGATTACTCTTGAATGTTAGAGGCTGAGCCCATCATCTAAACCTGCCTTGTTGGTTCTGAAGAGTGTGAGTCAACAATGATCATCACAGTTCTGGTCCTACCTGGGATACTCAATCATAGCTAAAGGCTGATTAGGGTTATTAATATAGGCCAGCAATGTATGAACAGACAAGGTAGCTGGTGAGATTCACATGGACAGACATTGTTAAAGGACATGGATGTGTTCTTTGAGCTACAAAATTCAGAGGGATGTGTTGGCATAATGCACCCAGTTCCCAAAAGCCGTATCTCCATTTTAAAGCCCTGAGTACGCTTTATAAAAACTGGGATAGTTCATTCAGTCTCTATATTTTAATCAAATCCTGAAAATGTGGCAGGTGGATAGTTTCCAAATATGTGTGTTCCAGTGAATTTTTAAAAACTAAACTCTGCATTTTTAAGTCTGTTGGAAGTTCTGTGTCTAAACACACAGTTGAGGAAGTCAGATCTGTAACTACAATGAAAAATTCTTCCCACCATATTATATAGCTTTAAAAGAAGAGTCATTGGAAGCAAGTTAATATTTGTATGTAGTGGCATTCATTACTAGTGTGATTATCAATCGTATACTTATTCTAAACTGTACACTGTGATAAATATATTCCTAATCAAGAAATATCATAGTAGGTTAATTTATTGTTCTGCTTGTTTTTTTGCCCAAACATTCTCTCAACCTGTGTTGAAGCCAAGTTAAATGCTTAGTATAAAATGATAGGTAGATATGAGCATTAGCCTTAGGGAATTGAGTCTGACAAACACATAGGACTAATACTCAGGAAAAAGTTAGTATGAAGGATTTAGTCAGAACCTTCTACTCAGAGCTTCTGTAGAAATCAGAGAGTACAGGAAGTAAGTATTGTGTATTTTTGGTATGAACCAGTGGTTTTTAAAAAGGTTTTAGTGCATGCAGAACATTATATTCTGACACTGGGTATATAAAATTCCAAAGACTGACTGACTCTCTCACTCTCTGTCTCACGCACACACACACGTCTGTGCCATGACTGAGCTAAAACCTGAAATGGCATGGTTTTCAGCAGTAAATAATGGCCATATCTGCTCATGTGCGGTACCCTTGCAGAACTGATTTGTCTAAAGCCTGATGTCCAGAGATGATTGATTGCCCCAGGACAATTGTCATGGTATGGGATTCCAAACTCTGTATCAGTTTAATATTAGTTATGAGAATGTTGTTTAAAAATTCTAACTTTTTCCCAGAGTCTTTTAAAAAGTTAGTTTTGTGCACATAACTTTTAGAATTTTTAAAGGAAATATAACATGCTTTCTAGAAGTGGTATGCGTTTTCTACACTGAGTGAGACACTGAGTCACATACACTTTTTCAAGAATGAACAAAGAATAGCAAGCCAAACAAGTTCTAAATGTGTGCCTTCCAAAAAGGCATGGTGACCTTCTGAAGATCAAATGACATTTAACTGGTAACTTTAAAGGCTTGAATAATGCTATAAAACTCGTACAGTAAAGTCATTAAACTCCATAGAGCACAGGATTGGAAGTTTCTTATTTTTTTTTTTTAACTTCTAAAGTTAGCACAGCAATCAAAAATACTTCGTTAATTATTTATTGTACTTTGTGGAGGCTAAGGAGAAGATTGAGTCTAAAAAACTAAATTATATGGTATTTGAAATTAATAGGCAATTTTAGCCCGCCTTGAAAACGCTTCCCGCAGACTGCCCTTCCCTATCCGACTTGGTACCTGGGTAGCAAAGATAACTATCAGCTTCAAACAAGCAGCAAAGACAAAAATAAACCCCAGGCACTACCATCCTTCTTAAATGAGACGCTTTCCCTCTGACTTTGTTGCCAGGTGTCCTGGGTTTGGCTGCCCACTGGTTTTGCCCACAG